TTTACAGTCACACACACACACACACACACTGTCACCCCTGCTGCGTACACCACCTTTACAGTTACACACACACACACACACACACACACACTGTCACCCCTGCGTACACCACCTTTACAGCTACACACACATGTACTGATTACCTGACAGATGTAACCGTCACCCCTGCTGCATACTTCACCTTTACAGCTACACACACACACACACACACTGTCACCCCTGCGTACATCACCTTTACAGTTACACACACATGTACTGATTACCTGACGGATGTAACCGTCACCCCTGCTGCGTACTTCACCTTTACAGCTACACACACACACACACACACACTGTCACCCCTGCGTACACCACCTTTACAGTTACACACACATGTACTGATTACCTGACGGATGTAACCGTCACCCCTGCTGCGTACTTCACCTTTACAGCTACACACACACACACACACACACACTGTCACCCCTGCGTACACCACCTTTACAGCTACACACACACACACACGTCACCCCTGCTGCATACACCACCTTTACAGTTACACACACACACACACACTGTCACCCCTGCGTACACCACCTTTACAGTTACACACACACACACACACACACACGTCACCCCTGCGTAGATCACCTTTACAGCTACACACACACACACACACACTGTCACCCCTGCGTACACCACCTTTACAGTTACACACACATGTACTGATTACCTGACGGATGTAACCGTCACCCCTGCTGCGTACACCACCTTTACAGCTACACACACACACACACACACACACATACACAGTCACCCCTGCGTACATCACCTTTACAGCTACACACACACACACACACTGTCACCCCTGCTGCGTACACCACCTTTACAGCTACACACACACACACACACACACTGTCACCCCTGCTGCGTACACCACCTTTACAGTCACACACACACACACACTGTCACCCCTGCTGCGTACATCACCTTTACAGTCACACACACACACACACACTGTCACCCCTGCTGCGTACATCACTTTTACAGCTACACACACATGTACTGATTACCTGACGGATGTAACCGTCACCCCTGCTGCGTACTTCACCTTTACAGCTACACACACACACACACACACTGTCACCCCTGCGTACATCACCTTTACAGTTACACACACATGTACTGATTACCTGACGGATGTAACCGTCACCCCTGCTGCGTACTTCACCTTTACAGCTACACACACACACACACACACACACACACACACTGTCACCCCTGCGAACACCACCTTTACAGTTACACACACATGTACTGATTACCTGACGGATGTAACGTCACCCCTGCTGCGTACTTCACCTTTACAGCTACACACACACACACACACACACACACACACACTGTCACCCCTGCGTACATCACCTTTACAGCTACACACACACACACACACTGTCACCCCTGCGTACATCACCTATACAGTTACACACACACACACTGTCACCCCTGCGTACACCACCTATACAGTTACACACACATGTACTGATTACCTGACTGATGTAACACACACACACACTCTAAAAGAAAAGGCCAGGAAGTAGAATTAATCTTAGAGTACTTGAGAAACAGGAAAAGGCCAAGTGTAGTTAAATGCAGTTAGCTAGAAAAATTACGAGTTTAGATGAAGAAGCCAGGCAAGTAGATCCTATGAAGTAATGTAAAGACTCTGGATTTGAGTGCAAAAAAATGTAAAGACTGGATTTTTGAGAAACTACTAAATAGGTGATTGTTAAGCAGGAATAATATAATGTGACTTTTTAAAAAAAGTTGGATTAGTTAAATGTGCAAGGTCTTTGTTGTATATTGATGCGGAGAAATCTTGAAGATACAGTAATACAATCTAGCTATCCTGTAGAAAGGATAGATGGGCAGGTAGTTTCTGTGGAAGGATGGTCAAAGCATACGAAGGGATTGCCTCTGAGGCATTCTACCCTCATCTGTATTGTATAAAACAGTGGATTTCATTATAATTACGTTCACCTCCACCCATTTTTTTCTCTTTCATCCTACGGGTCCCCATTTTCTGTTCTTCCCTCTCTCTACTTGCATGTCTCTCCCCGCCCTTCCCATTAAATCTAGATTCTGCGTATGAGACAAGATAATTGTCCTTGTGAGTCTAGTTTCTTTTTCTTAACCATCTCTAGTTCTACCCATTTTCTTGCACACTACATAATTTCATCTCTATTTTATTTTATTTTACTTTTTGGCAGTATGGTGGTTAGAACTCGCTTTGTGCTTGCTAAGCAGGTGCTCTAGTGGTGAAGCTATGTCCCGGCCCTTTTGGCTTTGAGATAGGGTCTCACTTTTTCCACTCAGGCAGGTTTGAATGTGATCCTCACACAGCTGGGCTGACAGTGTGCAGTCGCCATGCCTAGTTTGATAGCCTTAGCTTTTCATCTTAGTGTCCTGTGTACCTGGGGTGACAGGTATGTACCACAGCCCCAGCTGTTGGGGAGAGGGGGCGTGAGAACTTCATTTGTCCAGGCTAGTCTAGAACAACCATCCTCATTCTTTCCCCCAATTAGCTAAGATTGACAGGCATGAGTCCCTGGCACCCAGGTTAATTTCATTTTCCTTTTATGGTTCCATTCTATATACATACTGCATTTTCTCTATTCACCTGTTGATGGACCACCTGGGCTGATTCTCTAACTTGGCTGATAAACCTGGGTGTTCAGGTGTGTTCAGTGTATCTGCCTTTGACTCCTTTGGGGTGTGTATAGGCCCAGGAGTGGTATGAGTGGATCATAAGGTAGTTCTGTTTCTGAATTTGGAGAACCTCCACACACACCTGTAGCATCTGCACACGTGCGCACCACCAGTGTGCAAGGTTCTCTCTCCACCACCGTTCTCACCACCATCTGTTGCTTTTGTGCTTGGTGTTGGCCGTCGTGACGGAGAGGAGATGGGAGCCCAGCATGATGGTCATTTTCATTTCCTGATGACTGAAGACGTCGGATATTTCTAAAATGTTTTTATTGGCCATTTGTGCTTCTTGGTTTGAAAATTTTCCAGTTTATGATTTCATTTATTGACGATGCCGTTTGTTCATTTGGTGTTTAGTTTCTTTGAGTTCATTACTCATTCTGGGTATGAATCCCCTGTTGGATGGATGCTAGCGCAGATTTGCTCCCCTTCTTGAGGCTGTCTCTCTGCTCTGGTAATTGTTTGCTTTGCTGAGCATGTATTTTTACTCCTATCATTTGCCTTTGAAATTTCCCTTCTCATCTGAAACAAGGTCGATTTTTTTTTTTTTTTCTACCTCCTTGATGTAGCTTCAGCTGAGGTCAGCCTACAGTTCCTTTAGCACAAAACACCTTATACCCTTTGACCTGTTGGTTCTCTTGTTGTGTTTCTAGTTTAACATAGCTTGCTTGCTTAACATTTGCTTGCTTGGCAAAAGTCGTGCTGTGTAGGGACTGGGTAAACCAGAGTGGTCTCCATCCAAATGGACGGGGAGTAGGTTCCCACTTTCCTGCGTCTTTCCTCCATCGTCCCAGCATAGAGACCGGAGAGCCAGTCACCGGTCAGCATCCAGAGCAGTCCGTGGCCTGCACTGCCCGCTGTAGGATCTCAGGCATATGCCGAGTGCGTAGAGCTGTGAGCGCTGGAGACGAAGCCTCTTTGGTGTATCATTTTTGAAAGCCCCGCCATGGCTGTGCGCAGTCTGTGGCCTAGAATAAGTTAATAATGTCTTGAGTAACTATTTCTACCCGGGTTCTACCAGAGCATATTTATTCTCTCCTGGAACTCTGTCCCCCCAATCTACAATAGTCATGGTTTAGAATTTGCCAGAATTTGTCAGAGACAAAATGTCTTGGTAAAATAATTCATCTTTTGTTCTGGACACTGCCTTTCTAGACACTGTTCCTGCTGTCTAGGTGCTTGGTGTGTGTAGTTGGCTGGGGAAGAAACTGCAGGGATTGCTCCATCTCTGGGCAATGGAGGCCAAGACATGCATATTCCCTCGTGGCTGCCTCGTGTGCCGTGCTATAGAATGGCCATCTGTCTCTCTGTCTGGAGTGTCTTCATGAAGCACTCTGTGGAAATGCACAGAATCCGATAGACAGTAGAAAATATAAGCTAACCTTTTGGAGGTTGAATTTTATACTAATTCTTTTAAAATCTATTCAGCATTCTTTTAACAAAATTAAGATTTTTTTCTGTCATATGTCAGTTTTAATATAATTGCAATAATGTGATTTGAATAGTGTCATGACTTGCTCAAACCATGTAAGTCTATGAAACTTTTTTTTTTTTTGTCAGTCATGGGGCTTGAACTCTGGGCCTGGGCACTGTCCCTCAGCTCTTCCGCTCAAGGTGAGCGCTCTACCGCTCAAGCCACAGTGCCACTTCCGGTTTTCTAGTGGTTTATTGGAGATAAGAGTCTCATGGACTTTCCTGCCTGGGTTGGCTTTGAACCGTGATCCTCAGATCTCAGCCTCCTGAGTAGCTAGGGTGACAGGCGTGAGCTACCGGCGCCCGGCTATGAAACATTTTTATAAGAATAATGACTTTAGAAGTGGCGCTGTGGCTCAAGTGGTAGAGCGCTGGCCTTGAGCTGAAGAGCTGAGGGACAGTGCCCAGGCCCAGAGTTCAAGCCCCATGACAGACCAAAATCAACAACAACAACAAGAATAATGACTTTAGGAAAAAGCTTTGATCCTGTGAGGAGGATATACTATGTTCAGAACTGATGTAGCATGCTACATGAATCTCAACGAAAGAAAGGATTTCAGAATCAAATTCTAGAACACTGGTTTTGGTTACCATTTGGCGTTGCCAGTGAATTCTTTTGTGTTAAGAAGGAAGTTAGGGGTCACGGAACTTGTAGAGAACATTCTTTTTTTTTTTTTTTTTTTACTTCGAACTGATTTTTCTGCTCTTATCCGTGAATAGTAGAGTTTCAGTTGCATTGATTTAAATGTATGTGAATGTAATTGGCTTAATTTCTCTTTCAGGACTTGAACCCATGAGAGAAGCCTGTGGCCCTTGTGAAGATAAATGTCAGCTTCCCTCATTAATTGGAACTTTCTCTTAGGACGCGTATGCGACGCTCAGCCCGTGGTTTGTCCTTTTAGTGGCTGCTGACTTTGATTACAGGCAGGTCTCTGAAGATTCATATCAAATGACGTCAATGGCCAGCTTGTTTTCTTTTACTAGTCCAGCAGTGAAGCGGTTGTTGGGCTGGAAGCAAGGTGATGAGGAGGAGAAATGGGCAGAAAAAGCAGTCGACGCTTTGGTGAAGAAGCTGAAGAAGAAAAAGGGTGCCATGGAGGAGCTGGAGAAAGCCTTGAGCAGCCCGGGACAGCCGAGCAAGTGCGTCACCATCCCTCGGTCTCTGGACGGACGCCTCCAAGTGTCTCACAGAAAGGGCTTACCCCACGTCATATACTGCCGGGTGTGGCGCTGGCCCGATCTGCAGAGCCACCACGAGCTGAAGCCCTTGGATACTTGTGAATTTCCTTTTGGGTCTAAGCAGAAAGAAGTTTGTATCAACCCGTACCACTATAAGAGAGTGGAGAGTCCAGGTGGGTACTGCTCTACTGAGAAGAACTTTAAACAGCAACAAAAACTAAACAGGTCTCTGCCTGATGTGCAAGTATGTCGGTTTAGATTTGTTTCTAAGCTTATAGGAGCCTTGTATTTCTATCTTGGAAGGAATACCGAATTTGCATTTGGTCTTTAAAAAAATATATATATGTGGTAAACATTCCAAGTGGCTTTCCCTAATTCGATATTTCCTGTAAGCACTCGTTTATGTACTCTACCCTTGGTGTGGATCACCTGTTCCTTGTTTCTACAGCTTAAGCTCTGTACGTACAATAGATTCTGTTTTTGTGTGTTCAGGAACCTTTTTCTTGGGTTGGAGACATGGCTCAGGTGTAGAGTGCCAGCTAATGAGCGGAAGCAAGCATCACATACTGAACTTGAGTCTTGGTCTAGGGGAATAAGAAGAGAAAAGAACTAACAGTGCCAGCCTTCTTCCCAGCATTAATTCCCCCTTTTCTGTTTTCCAACAGCACACAAGCATTTCTCGATACTGCTCATCCTAAAATAAAAATTCGAAAAGAATTCCTTTTCTGACTCATTCACCAACTCCTCTCCCCAGTCCATTGTACTGTTTCTTCAGGTCCTTTTGTAGGATAGTCTTATTTTTATTACCTCTACATCTTTTTTTCACATTCTTTGTTGGTATCTTTCCAGTTCGTACTTCTTTCCTCCCAGTTATCCTGTCAAAATCACTAGTGACTGGCTTCTTAGGAATCCAGGTGTTGTTTCTCAGTGTTCCTCTACGTGACCTCTTAGCAGTGCTGTGCCTTTGATTTCTCACAGCTCCTGCTCTGGCTGACTCAGAGTCTGGTTTGGCTCAGTCTCTTGGACCTTTCTTAAGTGCCGCTGTGCATTCTGGAGCTGCCTCACATGTCTGAAAATCATCCACACATTAATGGTCAGATGTTGAACTCCAGAGTTAGTTTGTCTCATGAGTTTCAAGTTACTTACTCGACATATCTATATGAGTGTAAACATTGGATGTAATATGGCTGAATAGAACTTCCTGAATTGTCATCCCAACAAGTCTGTTTTTCCTCCTTTTTCATTTTCCTCTGTAAGGTATATGGCACCAGTATTCATGTAGTTACTATTGCCATAAACTTAGAGGTCATCTTTTATTCTTAATCTGCATTTGCGCTTCGAAAATACCGCTTGCTGTATCTTTAAAATATACCTCACTACTTAACTCCTTTCACCCCAAGCGGTCTCATTATTGTGTTTTCTACACCTAGTGATCTTTAAAATAATGTACATCAGATCATACCATTCCCTACTAAGAATGCTTTACAGACCTTCTGCCCCACGGATGACAGGTTTCTCTAAGGCCCGACATGACTTGTCCTCTAAGAGTCTCTCTGTTCCTTGCCCTTGCCAGGCTTCTGCGTCCAGGCTCACGTTGCTGTTTCCTCTAAGATGACTCTCCACCTTGCACCTTCCTTTCTCCCTCCATTCAGTCTTTGATGGGATAGCCCTTCGTTTTACTGTTGTCCGGTATGAGCAAGGCCTTCCTGAGTCTCAGTCATTACTGTATCCTCAGTGTCTAGAATGTATTGTTCCTCGGCTCTTAGTAGGTGGTGCTCAGGAAGCATTTTTTTTTTTTTGTACTTGCTAAGCAGATGTCGTAGTTAATTTATGACTGTGGTAACAGAACACGTCAGATGAGGCAAATTATAAGCAACAAAATTTATTCCACACCTGGTTTGGAGGCTGGAACATCCAAGATGGAGGGAATGCATCTGGTAAGAGTGGTTAAGTACAGCATCACGCGGCAGAATGGCAGGTGGGCGAGAGTGCGAAGCACTGTAAGCAGGGACCAAGCTTACTTAACGAACTCATTCCCACTGAGTAACCCAGACCCGCAGTGGTGATTCGCCCAGTGGCCTCTCACTGCGCCCCGCCTCCCAGCACTGTTCTATCACATGAACATAGCAGCTGAGAGGCGCACTGATTCTTCACCTGTCTACTGCTGTCCAACCAGTTCCCTTATTACTTCAGTGAGGATAAACTTATATGTAGAGAGATAGATAGGGATGGGGACGACTGGGATTTGAACTGAGGGCTTTGGCTTGTCCAGGCAGAGACTCTACCCTCTCTATTGCCTCACAGTTTCTTTTTTTTTTTTTTTGTCAGTCATGGGGCTTGAACTCTGGGCCTGGGCGCTGTCCCTCAGCTCCACCACTTGAGCCACTGAGCCACTTATGGTTTTTCTGGTAGTTAATTGGAGATCAGAGTCTCAAGGACTTTCCTGCCTGGGCTGGCTTTGATCTGCATGCCTCAGATCTCAGCCTCCTGAGCAGCAAGGATGACAGGCCTGAGCCACCAGCACCCGACTACCTCACAGTTTTTGTGGGTCAGTTGTCCTGCCACAATTTAGTTGGGTCTTTTGCAGTCCTCAAACTGGGGTGTTGGTGAGGGCCCAGGTCTTAATCAGAAACTGAGATGCGGAGGAGCTACTGCCTCGTGATTATTACAGAATTCTGCACCTTCCGGGTCACTGAATTCTCTCTGGTGTCAGCTGAAGACTGCCTTTGGTTGTTTACTACTCGTCCTTCTCTGTAGGTAGTTCTCATTCAGGTTTGTTCATGCAGTACCATCCCTTCCCCAGCATTGCATTTTCCCTCTCTGCAGACTGTTTCTAACAGCACACAAACCTGTCACGGCACTGCAGCTTCCTCAAAGCCAGTAAGGAAGGAGGAAGTGTTCGCAATTTGGCATCCTGTGCTTATGGAATGCTGTCATACATCCTGTCACAAATCCTCATATTCAGGGGGACGTAATCCCCAGAGATGGGAATTGTGGCAGCAGTCTGTCTTCCACCCTGGAGGTAAGACGAATGTGGTAAAAATAGGAAGCTAACAGTGGGCGTGAAGACTAGCAAAAGCGCAGAGCAGCGGTGGTGCTATCGGGGAAGTTCAGCTTATGAATTTTAGTGCTGCCGGTTGATATTTGAAGTGCTTCTTGAGCTTTTGTTGAGTCCCTGGAACACTGTTCTGCCTGAATGAGTTGCTGAAGACAGGAGGATGGCAAGATTGAGTAGTGGAGAAATGTCTGAAAAATTCACAAGCTAGGTGTTTGTTCCGAGTAAGTCCATTATTCGTTATTTGACAACTGAGGGCATCTCTAAAGTAATGTTGACAGGCCTAGTGTTTGACACAACGCTTGAAATACCGCAAGTATAAGTGGCATGTACTAAATGAATGAACAGGGACATAGCTTTAAAAAAGCACTGCTCAAGGAAGTGAGTGTCACAGAGTAGATGGCTGATCAATGAGTGTGTGTGTGTTTGTACATAGACGTGTGTACATGTAATAAGCCCTGAGTATTAGTTTAATAAATTTTAATGTGACTTTATTGTGGGAAATGAGAATTCTGTATGTTACCCCATTGCCATAGTGTGATGGTAACCAGCCAGTAGAAGTATATCTTACTTCTCTCTCTTTTTTTTTTTTTTTTTTATCATTGATCACGCTGTAGAAAGGACAGCACATAACTGATACTTCTAAAGTGATTGCAGGTCTCATACTTTGCCAGTTCAACTGCAGGAAGGAGAGTATAGAACCCTCATTTTTGGACACAAGTCCACTCATCTTGGAGCAGGGGACAGCTTGACCCAGCTAAATAAACTTGCGTTCATTCTCCCTTGACCAAGAAATGGTGACACTACTGGGTCACCTCCTGGTTCTTCCGAAAGCGTCCAGAGAGGAAGTACAGGACACAAAGGAAAGTCTGGGAGTAAGGAATCTTGGATTTCTCAGTGCACTTCTGGGTTGTACAGGAAAATGGAGCCGCACCATCAGTATTCAGAGAGAAGGGTATGAATTCCGCCTGCATACAAACACCGTCCTGCCCTTTCTTAGAAAGCAAGTAGGGGACAAGGCCAAAGAAATAGATCTAAGTAGAGAATGGAAGAGAGATTCAAGGGCTTCAGCTTTGTGGGAATCACCCAGTCAAAAAGAGGGAAGGTTCAGGGAAAGCACAAATCCATTCATTCATTATTTGACGTCTTAGGGCATCTCTAAAGTAGTGTTGATAGGCCTAGTGTTTGACACAACTCCTGAAATATCAGAAATATAAGTGGTATGTACTCAATGAATGAACAGGGACATAGCTTTAGAAAAGCACTGCTTAAGGAAATGAGTGTCACAGAGTAGATGGCTGAGCAATGAGTGTGTGTGTGTGTGTGTGTGTGTGTGTGTGTACACAGACTTGTGTATATGTAATAAGCTCTGGGTATTAATTTAATAAATTTTAATGTGACTTTATTGTGGAAAATGAGATAAAATATTTAAAAAGCTGCTTCATTTCCCCAAAGAGCAAGTGTACAAATAACATCTTGCTGAATGAGTAATAGCAATGCAAATGTATTATTTAGCTATGCGCAAAGTAAATCTGAAAGGAAATGGCTACAGATTTAAATTTGCTTGGGAATTTATCTCTTGCCTGTCTCTTAGCCCTCATTATTTTGAATGAAAATAAAATAATTTCTTAAAATGTACAAAGGTAATATTTTTAATATACAAGCAGCCAGTAGGCTAACTGTATTTTTTTTTTTTTTGGGGTCCGGTTATGGGCCTGAACTCTGGGCCTGGGCCCTGTCCCTCAGCTCTTCAGCTCAAGGCTAGCGCTCTACCACTTGAGCCACAGCGTCACTTCCGGCTTTTTTCTTTTTTCTTATGTGGTGCTGAGGAATCGAACCCAGGGCCTCAGGCATGCAAGGCAAGTGCTCTACCACTGAGCCACCTTCCCAGCCCTAACTGTATTTTTTTTTAAAAGGAGAAGAAATCTTTAGTGTACTTCATTCAGTGTTTCCTGATTACTAGCTAGCTAACAAATCCTCTCCAGTGGCGTCCTTCCACCTTTCTTTCCATAAGAGGAAGAGCAGTGGCTAAAGCACAGAACAAAACGTGTAGTTGGTGTTAACCATATACCTCCGTAAGATGAAGTGAACAGTACAGTACGAACTGAACGGTCTCGGTTTGTTGTGGCTACCTCTACTTCTGGGAGAGGGAGCGTGACCTGGTTGATGAAAAATCTGATGAACAATCTGATTTTGTTGGTGCAGATGGCATCAGGATCAAAGCGGGATTCTTTTCCTTTCTCTGAAATGCAATTGCTTTAACAAATACAGCGAAGTTGTAAGGAATATAATTGGTAAATTAAGAGTTTGAAAATTCTGGAGATCTGAATGTTGCTTGCGTCTGTAGGCGAAAGTGAATATTTGATTATGGTTAAAATCGATTTTCTGCAGTGTTCTTGTTTAGATATGCAGACATTGTTGTACGCATTTTCATTTTGATCATATTCAGAAGATTGATTTTGAATGGGAAATAATTACTGTTTTCAGTGGGGCAGACCTAACTAAAAAATTCTTACTAAGAATGCTGGATGCGTTCAAGGTTGGAAATGTGGCTTTACGAGAGCGCCCACACAACCAGTCCCGACGCCCTCTCTCGATCACTGCCTAGGCCAGCGCCAGATCTTTTTTGTCTCCTTCTGCTCCCCACCCCTACACTGTCATGGGAAGCCCTGGTTCTTTAAGGTGATGCAGCCACATGTCAGTGACTCTGTGATTCCCTGTTAGCAGGAATACTTAACATATTGGGGGGTGAAGGGGTAACTAACTGGGCTTTTTCACACTTGTTAGGCAGGCACACGGCCACGGGAGCCACATTCCCAGCCTCAGTGCTTGCTCCTTAATTCCCAAACATATGAAATTCTCTGTGATCCTCTTCCCTGGGGCCTCCAGTGTAGCTGGAGTGACAGGTGTGCATAGTCACGCCCACCTTATTTTGTGGGGAGAGGAAGGGATCGGACTCAAGGGCTCAGGCTTTCAAGGCAGGTTTTTTACCACTTGAGCCACACATCCAGGCCCTTTTATACCCTGGTTATTTTGAGGTAGGGCCTTGCTTTTATGCCGGGGCAGGCCTGGGCTGTACTTGCTGTGTTGCTGGGGACAACCGGTGCGGCTAGGATGGATTCCACTGCGCCCAGCCAGTGCCTGAGATAGAGGCTCGCACAGTTTTATGCCACGGCTGGCTGCCTTCCAGCTGTGATGCCTCGTTCTTTTTCTCCTGAGTAGCTAAGATTCTACGTTTTAAGCTAATGTGCCTAGTACATGGCTTGGTTTTTAGATGGGATCTCATCGATCTTTTCACTCTAGCTGATCTTGGGCCATGATTCTTCTGATGTCTTCTGGAATTACAAGTGTGAGCCTCCACATCTGATTCTTGGTGATTTTTTTTTTTTTTTCCCCTCATACGGCTTTATGAGCCATCGAACAGGAATAGGATCTTCTCTGGCTTTTCTGTCTTTCAGAGTTCCACATATAGGCTAAATGCTTATAAAATTTTGTTTAGTTATGTAAATACAGATTCAAGTTTGTACAAAACAACCCTTCCTAAAAGTAACCTATTTTATTAGTTGGGTAGTCTTACATAAATCCTTTGTATGAACTTTTTTTTTTCTTTGGTAGTACGGGGGTTTGAACTTGGGCTGTTAACCTTTATGAAGCCAGTACTGTACCACTCAAGCCTCTTTTGCTTTGGTTGTTTCTTTTTTTGGTCAGTTATGGGACTTGAACTCTGGGCCTGGGTGCTGTCCTGAGCTCTTCAGCTCAAGGCGAGTACTCTACCACTTGAGCCACAGTGTCACTTGGAGATAAGAGTCTCAGCCTGCCCAGGCTGGCTTTGAACCATGCTCCTCAGATCTCAGCCTCCTGAGTAGCTAGGATTATAGGCGTGAGCCACTGGTGCCCGCGCTTTGGTTGTTTTTTTTTGAGATTGGGTCTTGCTTTTGCCCTGGCTGGCAGTGACCACGATCTTTCTGTTGATGTTTCCTGACATACCCTATCACACCCAGCCTTTTCTGTTAAGATGGGGTCTTGTGAACTTTTTACCTGGGCTGGTCTGAAATCATAATCCTCCTGATCTCGGCCTCTTGAGTAGCTAGGATTACAAAGGTGAGCCACCATGCCTGGCCGTACCAGTCTCTTATTGGTGGGTGGGATGTGTACTGTGGTCACTCCTGACGGATGACTTCTGCTTTCTTTTTCTTTCAGTCTTACCTCCAGTGCTAGTGCCTCGTCATAATGAATTCAATCCACAACACAGCCTTCTGGTTCAGTTTAGGAATCTGAGCCACAATGAACCGCACATGCCACAGAATGCCACGTTTCCAGATTCTTTCCACCAGCCCAACAACACTCCTTTTCCCTTATCTCCGAATAGCCCCTACCCTCCCTCCCCTGCTGGCAGCACGTATCCCAGCTCCCCTGCGAGTTCTGGGCCCGGAAGTCCATTTCAACTCCCAGGTAAGACTTTAACCAGTAAGAAAAGGTAAATTAAAAGGAACCTCTGGGAGTCAGCCGTTATTCTTGTATCCTCCTGGGTGAGCCATTGTACAACAGGAGGTAATTAGGTGCAACTATGTATCCTTTCCATAATTGTTTGATTTCCAGAAGAGTTCAGACCTGTTTTGCCAAGTAACATATGTTTACAATCTGGAGGTAGTGGGGAAATTAAATACCAACTGCTTAATTTGCTCATGGAAATTGCCCAAACATAAATGTTCGTCCTGCTTTAAATTCAGTGCTGGTCATAGCACCGTCTCGTCTCAAAATATAGCCTGGAACTCTTCTGTGAAAGACATTTTATATTTGGTTTTCTCGTTACTGAGGCAGGAAGAAGTCTAGAGGTGCTTTTGCAAAAATTTGCAAAGAGTGTTGGAGCTCAAAAGATTTCATGTTTAGCTCAGTTTCCTGAGCTAATTACCTAGCTGTTTAATGGAACCCGGCCGCCATTTTGAGTCAGTGTGAAAGAATTACACAGTTAACGTTAGTGTGATGGCAGATTTTGAAGGGACATTGTTTTATCTTCGGTTTAAAATGATTCTATAGTATGGGGTGATCTTGATGATTTAAAAGGCCTGTATAATTTGTAGGTACACAAAGATAATCTCTTTTACAGTAGCTACAGTTTCTCTGAACACAAAGGCAGAATTCTTGACCTTGAATCCAATATTAGTGCGCTTTAGTACTGATCCTATTACACTATGTAGTAGGAGGTATCTGGGCAAAATAAATACGCTTGTAAATTTCAGGAGCTGTCTGTATGCTGTCTGTTTTGCCCTAGGACTGTGTCCAATGTGTGTGTGTCCAATGTTCATCAACAAGCCCTGCTGGTGATACTTGAGTTACTGTTTTTTTTATAATGCTATTAGAGTAATCACTTTGAGCAGTTGAAGACTGGGCTCTTTGGAGACTTGAACTTGTGTCATTTTCTTCCTTTTAGCTGATACGCCGCCTCCTGCCTACATGCCACCCGATGAGCAGCTGAGTCAGGACAGCTCGCAGCCTATGGACACAAGCAGCAACATGATTCCTCAGATCATGCCCAGCATATCCAGCCGAGGTACTGGTTTTGACTCTGCTTGCATTTCTTCCACCTTCTTGCCTGCTTTACTTTTTTGTAGTGCTAGGGATTGGATCCCGAGCTTCCCACGGGCTCTCCTACTCAGCTCCACCTCCAGCCTTGGCCACTTGAAAAAGACGTCTTTAATGAAGTATTCACCTGTACTGCAGTAGCTTCTCAGAACTTCAGCAGCCCCGTCCCCATCTCTGTGGATTTTTCAGTCTGTTTCTGGGTGTAGGGATTGATTGCTGGCTCTTAAACACTTCAGAACTGTGAGAAAGAAAATTTCTATTGTTTCAGCAACCTGTACCAACTTAGAAATTGGTACCTAAAAATGGGATGCTGCTCTTACATAGCTTGGAAACTAAGTAATGAGTAGGGCCTGAAGGAAGTTTGAGGTTTATACTAGAAAAAGGCAGAATTGCTGTGATTCTGTTGAGGGCCCAGAAGTAAGAGGAGACTGGTAAAGAAATTTTCTGTGAAGTATTATGTAATTGTGAATGGAAATAAGGATGGATATTAAGGTTTATGTATTTTTTATTTTGGGGTTTCAGAGTTAAATGAGTAGCATGTTCTAGGAAAACAACAAAAAAGGTATCTTTTTTAGAAAGCAAAACAAACAAACAAAAACTTGGCTGAGTTCTGTTCATGTTCAGCACTTTGTGTGAGCTAGAACTCTGGGGCCATGGAATTGGCTGTTGTACCCAGCAGGTTCTTACGTGATATTGATGGTGCAGCCCGCTGCCTCTTGACTGCTCCTGGTACACTAAGGAGAGAAACGAATGGAAGAAGGAACCATTCAAGCAAAACAGAATCAGAACGTTAAAGCTTGGGAAGGTTCACCTCACTGTGAAAGCTGAGTGGTGTCGAGGGATGGAGTGTGGGCTTTGCTTGCCTGCCATGTGCAAGTGAGGGTAGCGTGGGCTTGGCCATGAGCCGGCTCGTCACTCCAGCGGGCATGGCTGATTTCCCCCGAAAGGACAGGGCAGGGTCAAGGCTGCTAGACGTCCTCAATTCCGTAAGACAGGACAGTGAGCCTATCTGGTGTGAAGGGATTCCGAGCTCATTGGGGTGCATGTCCGGGTTTCAGCAAGCCGGATACTGCCATGGAGGTGGGGGTGCCGGGAGCCTGGAGTTTGCAGCTCCCCACTGTGCGTCACTTACAGAGTTTCACAACTTGTGACTGTAGAAGAATTGCCCTTGGGATTTTTGTCTTCAGCTCACCTGTTGCTGGGTGGATAGTTCTAGATTTCAAACTTGATAGCTTTCACTGGAATGAGTTAAGACTTTAGGGGTGGAATGTACATAAGTTTGTGTGTGCTAAGGACTTGAATATTGGGAGGCCAAAGTGAAATGCCAATGGACCACATTGCGCCTCCTGAACTTCGTGCCGAAGCCCTCACCCCAGTGTGACAGTGGGTGGTGATCTGGTGTTGGAAAGGCTGGCAGCTTTGGCTGAGCGCATGAGAGTGAACTCACTAGCCCTGAGATCTGCTGAACTTCATGTTGACATCACCACCTCTAGAATTTTGAGAAATAATTTAAAAATTTAAGCCACTCAATGTCAAACTCCGAGCCGGCTAGGACAGTCGCCTTGAATTTCTATAGCTGTCATAAGTTGTCATAATTTAAGCTTGTTTCTAAGACAGTCAGTAGAAATGTCTATATCCTGTTTCACATAGTGTTTTGGTTAGGCTAAAGGGTAAATACACAATGAACCCAGAGTTCCTGATAAACCATTGATTAAACTTGTTTTCTCTTTGGTCTCTTCACAGATGTCCAGCCTGTTGCTTATGAAGAACCCAAACATTGGTGTTCAATTGTTTACTATGAATTAAACAACCGCGTCGGGGAAGCGTTTCACGCATCTTCTACCAGTGTGCTGGTAGATGGATTCACAGACCCCTCCAATAACAAAAGCAGATTCTGCTTGGGATTGTTGTCAAATGTCAATCGTAATTCGACCATTGAAAACACGAGGCGCCATATTGGGAAAGGTAATCGTGTGGTTTCTCTACATCCAGTTGAATTAGTCATGGGTTGCGTTTTATCAGGCATTGTGGAAGGTGCTGGAAATATACAAAGGATCTTAAGGCCTGGCCTCCGCTGATTTTTGAGTGTTGTCCCTGCTGGAATTGAAGCTGGCAGCAGTCAGGAGCTAGAATAGTGCCTGGCTCATAAGACATACAACAGAGACCTCTGGAACGTGTGGGTGCTGGTGAAGCATTAGAAGTTTGTCATTGCAGTGTTTGTGAAGTGTTTGGGGTTGGGGTGACTTGTCAGAATTACCCTAGGTGGAAGGGGTAGAATGGGACGAAGGAAGTGGAGGTAGGAAATCCAGTGTGAATGACAGAGATCTTGGGCTTCACCACCATCCTCTTGTCTTTTAAATTCAGGTCACAAGGTTCGGTGGTAATTCTTCCTGCAAGAAACAACCCTTTTTGTACTGCAATTCATGCCAAATCTCGTGTGTCAGAGGAAACCTTGCCCACATAGAATATATTGCTTCTTTCTTCAGAAGTTTTAGGTTTCCCCTTGCTGCTTTTTGCGTGACTTGACAGCCTTATTTCCCAATTTGCCATCCTAGGGTCCTTTTGATCTGGCCCATTTTCATTTAGAAGAGAGGCAGTTTTTCAATGTCAGACAGACTAGCCTGGTAGAACTAACTCTGCAACTTCAATGGGCACAGAGGTCTGTGTACTGGAATGCTGTTGACAAGCACTGCTTGTCACTGTAGTGGAAGGTTGTTCATGAATAGATAGGAAAGAAATTATGCACAACCATTTCAGAATTATATGCACCACTCAGAATATAGGTACAGTGGCAGATTTATATTTTGAAGTTTTGTAAACTCCGGCAAGATTTAAGGTGACCGAACAAGTTTCTAGTTAATAGACTGTGATGTCATTTATGTTAAAAAAATAAAGCAAAACACCCATCTCCATGCAAAACTACACAAAAGATATTCTATAGGAATACATGTATGTACAATTAAATTTCAGTGAAAGGATTTAAAAGGGGTTATGCACCAAATCGTCCGGGATTTCTACCTTCAAGGTGGGAAGATTTGAAATGATTGTGGAATGCTATTTTCTTGTGGGGAAAATACTAGGTGACTTCCCCTTCACACACGCAGTCTGAATTTTACTGTAGGAACTGCTTTCACATGTTTCTTAACATTTTATTATCTTTAGGTAATGATACAAAGGCGTTGTTATTAACAGAGCAGTGCGGGGATAGCATGCATCCTGATCAGTGTCACCCCTTTCAACATGCTCACAGCTTTGACATATTTATATCCATGTTTTAAATATTTAAAAAGACTTTTAAAGAAAGATAAGCCTGCATTTTAAAAGCTTTTTTCCGTGGCCTGAAACTACATTTGTACCACTTGTTTTTGTATGAAATTCTGCTGCCCTCTTTGTTAGCGAGAAGTCCGTAAAACAACAGTTTGTGCCCTGTGCTAGTGGTTCACACCTATCATCCTTGCTACGCAGGAGGCTGAGACCTGGAGGACCACAGTTTGAGGCCAGCTCTGCAGAAGCGTTCTTGAGACTCCATTTCCAAACCATAACAGCAAAATGCTGGACTGAAAACATAACTCAATTGTAGAGTGCCAGCCCTGAGCAAAAAAAAGCTAAGTGAGAGCCCAGGGACATGAGTAAAAGCCTGCTACCGCAAAAAGCAAACCAAAACCAGAATGCCAAAACCAGATAGGGTGTAGCACCGAGCATAGCTTTGAAAGGACTCAGCAAAAGGCAATCGGTGGGTTTTCTTTTTTTGGCCAGTGGTGGGGCTTGAACTCTGGGCCTGGCACTGTCCTGGAGTTCTTCAGCTCAAGGTGAGTGCTCTACCACTTGAGCCACAGTGCCACATCTGGTTTTCTGGGGGCTCATTAGAGTCTCATGGACTTTCCTGCCTGGGCTGGCTTTGAACCGTGATCCTCAGATCTCAGCCTTCTGAGGAGCTAAGATGACAGCCGTGAGCCTCCTGATTCCCGCCCCACCTCTTTGATTGAGCTAAGTGCTGAGGTACAGGAAAGGCACCTGAGAGTGAGTGGGCAAACCTAATAAACCGCCACCTTGAGGCGAGGCTCCCTCCTGGCTGGTTGAGGATGGGCTCAGACTGACTCCTTCCTGATGGGTTTCAGTGGAAGGACATGTCACAGGATCTTCCATCTGGCTGTGGGAGGGCGGTGTCCTTGGCTGGGCTGGCCGACTGAGCTGGCTCTTCTCTTCCAGGCGTCCATCTGTACTATGTTGGCGGGGAGGTGTACGCGGAGTGTCTGAGCGACAGCAGCATCTTTGTGCAGAGTCGGAACTGCAACTTCCACCACGGCTTCCACCCCACCACCGTCTGTAAGATCCCCAGCAGCTGCAGCCTCAAGATCTTCAACAACCAGGAGTTCGCTCAGCTCCTGGCTCAGTCCGTCAACCATGGCTTTGAGGCCGTGTACGAGCTCACCAAAATGTGCACCATCCGCATGAGTTTTGTCAAGGTGAGTGGGCTGTGGCCCAAGACGGCATCTCCGTCTCTGTAACTTTGTACGTCTCTGGTTGTAATTAAAAACTTTTGAGTGCAAGATGATCGTGACTTTTGGCCTGATTTAATAGTTTTTTTCAAGTGAAATTCTTGAATTGATCATTGAAGTCATGTAATAGATCTGTTCATTTTGTCATCCATAAATTACATGATTGATTGAGGTTTCTATATTGGATAAGGGTTAAGTTTACATAGCATTTCACTTAGAAGACATCTAATATTATAATTGCTTTTTGAGTCCCTTCGCTTCCACAGTTTTGGTTATTAGAATTACTTAGAATACTAAAATTACTTTGTACTACAATTACTTGTAGTGCTCTGTTGTGGAGAATTTTCAAAGGCCATCTCTATAATTTGCTTTTTTTTTTTTTTGTCAGCCGTGAGGCTTGAACTCTGGGCCTGGGCGCTGTCCCTGAGCTCTTCAGCTCAAGGCAAGCGCTCTACCACTTGAGCCACAGCGCCACTTCCGGTTTTCTGAGTGGTTTATTGGAGATAAGAGTCTCATGGACTTTCCCACCCAGGATGGCTTTGAACCATGATCCTCAGATCTCAACCTCCTGAGTAGTTAGGATGACAGGCGTGAGCCACCAGCGCCCGGCTTTATAATTTGCTTTTTTTTTTGGCCTGATTTTATTGAAAATGTCTAAGACTATGGCTCATGAACAAAACTTGCAAATTATTCCATGACTGCGGCTCTTACTGTTGAGCAGTCGCATGCCATCCTTCTCAGGTACGGCCCGTCCAGTGGGGTCTGTTGTGCAGATGAGTGTGTCAGCTTCCCTGGGGGCGTTTCACACGTCTATAGAATTATGGTGCTTCCATATTTAGCATACCGTCCACCCCTCCTTCTCTATCTTGACCATTTCTCTCCCTCCCTTCCTGACCCTCTAATTTTCCCAGACATATAGGCAGTAAGACAGACAACTTAAGAAAACAAACATAAAAAATGGCTCTTTCTGTTTTTTACCTGAGGCCTACACTAACGTTTTTATTATTTCGTCTCATTGATTTCCTACCTTTAAAGGTAATGCCTGTGGTTACAATAAAGTTTTGGTGCACGCATTGGTCAGGGTGTACAGTAGCTTCTCTGATAGACATAAGAAGCAGGCCAAATAACAAAAAAACACTAGAAACCGACATCTACATGAAGTTATATAACATCACTGTTGGTGATGGTGAGTTTTATGTGTCTTAGTAAATGAGAATGTTTTTTAAATATTATAGTATATGTCCTTTCTAAACTTGAAAGAGTAGGTCAGAAACATATCTAATCCCACAGGTTTCTATCAGGTAAATACTAGATTGTTTAAATTTTAGGGCTGGGAAGGTGGCTCAGTGGTAGAGTGCTTGCCTTGCATGCATAAAGCCCTGGGTTCGATTCTTCAGCACCACGTAAACAGAAAAAGCTGGAAGTGACGCTGTGGCTCAAGTGATAGAGCGCTAGCCTTAAAAAAAAAAAGAAGCTCAGGGGCAGTGCCCAGGCCCTGAGTTCAGGCCCCAGGACTGGCCAAAAAAAAAAACCCAATCAGGAATGTCATTATCTTCCTTTCCTTTCCTTTCCTTTTCCTTTTCCTTCCCTTCCCTTCCCTCTCTCCCCCTCTTTTTCTCTCTCTCTCTCTTGGTTGGTCAGGGGCTTGAAATTAGGGCTTGAGCACTGTCCTTGAGCTCTTTTTAAGTCTAATGCTCTCCTACTTTGAGCCACTTCTGGTTTTCTGGTGGTTCATTGGAGATAAGAGTCTCACAGTCCTGCCCAGGCTGGCTTTGAACCAGGATCCTCAATTCTTATCCTCCTGAGTAGCTAGGATGGCAGGCGTGGACCGCTCAGGCCGGGCTTGTCTTGATTTTGATTGCATAGTAAATGCTGAGTGTTGTGAGAGTTACTCTATCTACCTGTGTTCTGCATCTTATTATGGTTGCACTGTCTTTGCATTGTCCAAGTTAGTTCAGACCAGTTGGCAATGTGGTGTCTTTCCTCTTCACAGGGCTGGGGCGCCGAGTACCACCGGCAGGACGTTACCAGCACTCCGTGTTGGATCGAGATCCACCTTCACGGGCCTCTTCAGTGGCTGGATAAAGTCCTCACGCAGATGGGCTCCCCTCTGAACCCCATATCCTCTGTCTCATAGTGCAGAAGCCTTCTTTTCAATTAGGTTCCTTGTGGACTTTAATTTTAGAGATACTGTGAGCTGACATGGAAAAACAGATATTACAGCTTATTTTTTTTCTACAAACTTGTGACCAACACATTTGTACTTTGTGACGATCCTGCATTTGTTTGTATCACTGTTCACGTAATGGACTGGAAGGCGTGGGGGAGACATGGAGCAAGCGTCCTGCCCACTCTGAACATGAACTGGAACAGGCTTTTGCTTATTGTCCCAACAGTTTTTTATTTCCTAATTTTTTTTTAATGTAACAAAAAAATTATAGTGTAAGAGGGTATATACATGGGGAAAAGTGTATTTGTCCTCCCTTTTCTCTCCGTCTCCGGGAACCTGTGTGCTTCTAACAATGTATCCCACCAACTTCATAAAAATACATTGTACTTTGTTTTGCAAAAGAGTATGGTAGGGGCTTAAAAGAAACTATATATATAAAAAAAAATCTTATTTGAAGGAACACTATGCACTGCTTCTAACAAGTAGTGTCCAGTAAAAGCCAAGTGATAGTTTTCTAGGTGGCATCATACATCTAACCTAACTGAATGTTGGTCTGTATTGTGATTCATGCTATGTATCTTTTGTAAAGCATTTCGTTTGTTTTTTTTTAAAAAGAAAATCCTGCAAGTAATTGATGTGTAATATATGCCACGTACTCAGTCTGTCCTGAGTACACTGCTTTGTAGCAAGCGACAGTACACGGCTGGCAGCCGCGTTTGCTGCTCTTGGCCTGTGTGGGAAGAACTCTACTTGTGACATGCATTAACCTTTTATTTTGCACTTTTATGGGCAACAGTTTTCAGTGTAACCTTTGCTCAGATACACTCAAGTGACCTACACGGCAGTTGTAGGAAGTTCTGCTTTTTCTAGTAACTTTTCAGCCTAGGTTATAAAATCGTTATCATACAGTTCCAGCTAAGGTGCCTAGTTTTGGATGTTATTAACTTCATACCACCTTACATCAGCCTCCTGTGTCATGGGAGACCCTGGTTAGGCCCCAGGAATGAGATAAATTAGCAGGGACGGTTGGGCTAGCTGCTGTGAACACATTCACAAAGCAGAGAATGCAGATGGACTCTGACTTTGCGTGGTCTTGTTTTTTCCTGGCCTCTTACTACCTATACCCATGCCAGTGTCCCCCAACGCAGCCTCCTGAAAGCTAAGGGAAGTCTGAAATACCCATTTAACCAATTGTGCCTTTGCCTTTGAGTCTAGGCATTTTAACCACTTATTCTGGAGAGCATCAGGTGGGCGCCTAGCCAAGACATGGGAACACGGCCCACCTACTTCACCAATCAGGAGAAACTTTCTTTTCTGATGCCTTTTCAAAGTATATGGAGCCATGACCGTCTTGTGTTGAAAATGTAATTTTGGTGTGACTTTCTACTTGCCCTTCCTGCTTTAAGGAAAAAAACAAAAAGGTTTGTTTTTCAGGCAAGGGTTACGGGACTCCTTTTGTTGTCTGTGTCGTTATGTGTTGCTGTTTCCCAATGCGGCCACAGGTACATTCGGGTTTCAGCTCGCAGTCCTTTGCTGAGTAGAAGGAAAACTTTGCCAGCATCACAGCCTTAAACGTCAGGGTTACATGGCAAGTATTCTTAGATCGCCAGAGCTTTCTGCCGTCTACATGAAACAGAATTATTTACTTAGTGATCAAGCCTACATATTTTTATATTTAGTTTTTGTATCATCCTTCACTTAACAGACTCACGGCACCATCTTTGGAACGGATTTGTAGGAAAAATTCACTCAAGTCCAATTACAGATGCATATAATCTACTTTAGTGGGCTCTGGCTAGCTGTACAATCTCCCACCTTGCTTCATTGATGGTTTAGCATTGCGTTAAGAATTGTTCTACTTGTCATTGCCATATTACAGCCTGTAAAGTTGAGTTGGCTGATGGGCTTTATGTGATTGCCCTTTTCTGTTTTCTCTAAGGAGTTTTAACTGCCAAGAGTTTTGTGGAGAAGTACAAGCCTGTTTTTGCTTCCTGAGCGCTGTCAGCTTCATCCTGTGGCTTTTAATGCAAAACGTTCTTCACTCAGCTGCTCTTGCAATCCCTAAGGATATTTTACAGCATAGAAATTAATGTGTGCCAGCAAAAAGTATCTGAATAAGAAACTCGAAACTAGTTTGGTAAATGCAGAAAGCAGAATAGACTCAAAATGCATCTCAGTAACAAGCTGAAGCAAACAAGGTGATGTTGATTGCACTTGAGGTGCATTGGACGTACAGCTCTACATTATAGAGCGCTTGGTCCGCTTGAGACCGTCTGGCGAGCATGATGGAGCGTCGCTGGGAGCTCATGGCTCATACCCGTAATCCTAGCTCCACGGGCTCAGATAGGAGGATTGTGATCCAAAGTGGTAGCATACAAACTGTGGGCAAAAAAAGCTGAGTGAGAGTGTGAGGCTGAGTTGGGAGGAGCTATTGAATACAAGCTAAAGCATATGAGTAAAATGGGCACTTTCTAGGAAATGTAAGGGAAAATAACCAGTAAGCATGTCAAATATATCAAGTCTATGCATATCCCCCCTCCCCTTTCATGACAACAGTGGTGGTGGTGGTGGTGGTAGCAGGTGGCTGAGGGTATTCCAGGAATGATCACTAGATAGACAATTCAGCATGCCACACCTGCTAGTCCAGACAGGGAGTACCGTTTCATACTCTTTGTGTCTTTGAAGAGTAAAACGTCCATTTGGGTATGACTGGTAAGTATTCAACCCTTAAGTTAACAATTAGGCTTGCCTTAAAAAAAAAAATACAAACAAAAAAACCCTGTAATACCCGAGGGGGAAGTTTCTTCCCTACACGCAGTATCCTTTTGGAGGAGAAAGATTCTAGAAAAAATGATACCCTACCTGTAGCAGAGACAAAGTTTGGTAGTTTCTGTTGCAGTGCAATTCTGCTTCTAGTAATTTGCTTCCTAGTATTCTAGGTTATTGTCACTTTTCTCACATATATCCTTCTTGCTTCCTGAGAAAGGCAGAATCTTGATAATTATTGAATGCAACCTCTCATGATGACTTAAATTGTGAACCCGTTAGCTTTGAAGAGCTGAGTCCTTCTCTGTCTTACTGGTTGGATCATCTCTTGATGTTTGGCATTTGACCATAAAGTATGTCCTCAGTACACCTATTGGCTAGATGAGCTTTTAGGCTTGGTGGTTTTAGAAGTGTTGCGTGGTTTTTATGCAAGAATCTTCCAAAGTGGTCACTTTCAAAGGGGTGGGTTTTTTGGAGGGTATCTCTCATTCCCAAAGCAACAGTATTCATGGATGAAAGTGAGATTCTTGGATGTTTTCCTTACCACAAAAGTGCATGTATGGAAAGTAAGCATTCAAGCCATTTGTTCTACATAAACAAAAGTTGTAGTTTAGCATGTTCTGAGGTGGATGTTTTACCTCCTTACAGAAGGTAACAGTATTTATCAAGCCTTTATTTGATTGGATTATTCATGAAAGAAACTCATCTCCTTAGCTGTGGCTGAAACTGTGTGTAGAATACTTGCCCTGCCACGCTTGAAGCACGCACGCGTGCACACACACACACAGAGCTTTTCTCCCCAAATAAAACTGTATGATCATTATTACATAGCACTCCAAAATTAGATGCAGTGGAGGAGATTTTATGCATTCATTTTGTTGTTTTAAAAGAAAAACGTGATAATATTTGCTAGTAGCAATTTCTACTACTGTACATTAAGTCTTAGTGTTTTGGTCAGAAAGATCTAGAACAGAATTCTTTCATCATTCATGGTGGAGTGGAAAAGCTTTGTGTCTAAATAACTCAGTTCTTAAATTGTTTTTAATTATCACGAGCCATTATCCTAAAAGGGTACATTTGAAGTTGCTGTTTGTAGAAAGTTCAGAATTTTGTGTAGGGGTAGATCCCCTGCACACACCCCTCCCCCATTTAATAGGTAATGCCTTCTTAACACTAGCTGGCATTAGCTAGAGCAAAACCCCACTTAGGCCCAAGAATGCCAGCCTCATTGTAGATGAAGAAGGCGTTTAGTGTCAGATTTCCCATGCAGTGCCGTCGGAATGCTGGCACTTTGATTTACTCTGGAAGTGGTTTCACCGTGGGGGCTCCGGGCAGTGGTTGGGCATGTGGCGATCTTTCGAGTCTGGCTGCTGCAAGCTGCAGTGAGAAGTGGACTTAAGTTCGGCTAGGGTTGCCTCCGTGGGAGACATGGTTCCCACACCCCTGGCCCTGTTCTCTCGAAAGGAATCGTTACACACGTTGAAGACCAACCTGACGGCTGTACTGTGGGCCTGTCCGCCTCTGACTCATGCTTCGCTTCAGGTTATGCTGTGGAAAATGCAATTCTAGCTCCATGCCTCGATCCTGTTCATCTTTTTTGATACTTATAAAAATGTGTTAATTAGGTTTTACTCTCATGTGCTTATCAAAGCCATAACTCTTAAGAAACTTGTTTTTGCGTATTGTTTGCTAATACTTTATTTTAATAAACTTCAAAACCTATTTAATGTGTCTTTTCTTAGAACTGTGATCTGATTTATGCTTCACTGAGTTTATGAGATTTATGCTTCATTAGGATTACCGGCTGTTGTCACCTGCGGAATTGTCTGCCTGTGTGCTACAGATGGAAAATGGGAATGTGGCGGCCTTCCCTTGCGTATGACGCGTGCCCAGTCCCTTCTGTTTGTAAGGGTGTTATAAGGGTTTTGAAGCAGGCCATAATCTGGGGATTGAATTTAGCCACTGACTTGACTTCTCTAGATCTTGGTCTATGAGTGAGGGGCTTGATTAGGTGGGCAGAACAGACTGGTGGCTCTTAGCAGACTTGCCTGTCTATCTGAGGTTGAGAATTAGCCTCATAGCTGTGTGCCCTTGTGCGGGTTGCTTAATCATTCTGTCTCGGTTTCCCTCATCTATATAATGTCTGTTGCATAGAGAAATTCAAGTAATACAGTGTGTGGTGTACAATAATACAATTTAGTTTTAATACTTAAAAACAGTACCTGACAAAAACAATGTGTGTGTGTGTGTGTGTGTGTTGGTCTTGGGACTTGAACTCAGGACCTGGGTGCTGTCCCTTGAGTCACAGCTCCACTTCTGCCTTTCTGCTGATTAATTGTAGAGAAGAGCCTCATGTTCTCCTAGGATCACGGTTCAAAGCTAGCCCAGGAAGGAAAGTCCATGAGAATCTTCTCTCCAGTGGAACTGTTTTTGTTGGGTGCTGGTGGCTCACCCCTGTTAATCCCAGCTACAATTTATTTTAAACTTCCCTTTTACATTTTGTACTGTCTGATTCAGAGCAATCATTTCTGGTGCTATTTCTGGTGCTTGGTTGATAGACCTTGATTATCCACTCTGTGAATGACCTCTGCTGTTCTTTAGTTTTAATTTCTTTTGGTCTTTTTTTTGTGAAATCACGGAGTTTGGTACCCTCATTGATGGATGCTTCCAGCCGCAGATGGAAATCCATTCTCATTAGGCAAGAATGTCCTTTATCCAGGATGGAGAAGTGGCAAACCCCAAATTAAGGATTTTAATGGGAAAGAAATTGAACAGTTTTCACACTTTCCTTTAGTGAAAAGACTTTCTCAAAAGAATCCGTTTCTCCAAATAGTCCCTGGTGTTGTATTCGAAGGTTATTTGCTGAGTTATAGTAACTTGTCTAGCAATTCCAGGAGCTTGTTTTTTTTTAATATGTATTTTTTATTGTAAAGATACTGTACAGAGGGGTTAGTTACACAAGCAAGGTAATGAGTACATTTCCTATTGAGCATTGTTACCCCCTCCTTCATTTTTCCCCTACCTACTGTCCCTTCCTTCCTCAGGAGCTTGTTATTTGGAAAAGACTTTTCCTGGCAAAGAAGTTCGCTGAGCACGGAGAGACGTTGGCCTCTTTCAGTCTTCAGATTAGCTTTCAGATTGCTGCAGCCCAAACAGCTGCAGAGGAGGCTGGACCGGGCAGTGCCTCTCCACAGGCGGTGTTGATAAACATTTCTATGAAGTGAAAGAAAGGTGGTTTTCTTTTTTTTCAAAAGTTCTTTCCCCATTTACCATTTGAAATGTTAGTATTTTGTTGGATTTGTAATTTTATCCTTTATAAGACTTTTTCTTCTCCAAAACAAAACCTCTGCAGTGTTTTTTCAATCTGTTATGTTTTCAAGATGAGGGTAGTGGAACTATATGAAAAGTTTAAGAGCTGCTGTGGCAGGGTGCTTTACCGTCTCTGTCCATGCACGCTAGGGGGGAAGTGGGAAAGGGGTTTTAGGTGGTTAAGATTTGTCACCTGCACTATACTTGTGTGTCTCTCCCAGGGAGCTTGTGCTTGAGATCTGGAAAGCTTCTTATACCTTGTCTTTATCTCTTACCTCCTTCCTGTCCAAGAAATCACATCGATGATTTCAATTTAAAGACTACTTTTATCTGGGATAAATGCTAAGAATTTGACCATTCTAGAAAGGCAGAGATTGAGACTCCTGAGCCAGTAGCTAACCATTGGACATTGTGTAACCTTGTAACTTGTTATGAGTATTCATTCTGCCTCTGTCCTTCCAGGAATCCTGTAGCTCTTTAGGGGTGGAGCTCCCAATGTTTTTTTGGAAAGGGTTCTCAGAGAGATTGGTTTGGTGCAAAAGCATTTCTTTGTAGGCCCGAGAAAGTTTCACATTCTGCATAGCAAACTGTGTCACGTAGTAGATATACAGTGTGTTTCTTTACCACCTAGCTTGTTGGCTGTCCTCAGCAATCTGTTGACTGAGGAGATGGGTCAACTTTGTAAATTGTCTTGGTAGAGACAGTGAATTTCAAATAAGCAATTGCAGCACTTTATGCTTTCCCTTGGAGCCGTTGGCCTTCGAAGTAATCAAGTTCCCTGGTATTGCTTAGGAATCTACAAAATTACGAGTTAGGTTGGAGCTGTTTTCCCCAGAAATAGTGGCAAGTGCACAGATGAACCTGTTTTTAGTTTTAGTCATATTGGGACTTGAACTCAGGGCCTTGTGCCTGCGAGGCAGGTGCTGTACTGCTAAGACACATCTCCAGTTATCTTTTTAGAAATAGAGGGTCTCACGTTTACCCCTGCCCCTGACTGGAAGGTGACTTGCCTATTTTATGCTTCCTGTGGTAGTTGGAATGACAGATGTCTACCATCACGCCCAGCATCTACCATTGAGCTGGGGTCATGAACCTTGTCCAGGCTGGCCTGAAGCCTTGATCTTCAATCTCAGCTTCCTATGTAGTTTGCTTGACAGGTGTGTATTTGGCAACAGAAAATAAACACAAAGAACATACAATTTGTCTTAGAGTTTAGAGAGGTGAGAGTGTCAAGAGCCCACAGCTTTTTTTTGGCTGGTCTTGGGGCTTGAACTCTGGGCTTGGGTGCTATCCCTCAGCTTCTTTTACTCAAGTCTAGCGCTCTACCGCTTGAGCCACGGCGCCACTTCCAGTTTTTTGGTGGTTCATTGGAGATAAGTCTCACAGACTTCCTGCCCAGGCTGGCTTTGAACCTCGATCCTTAGATCTCAGCCTCCTGAGTAGCTAGGATGATGGGCGTGAGCCACCGGTGGGAAGGCCTCTCTGGCCCTCGGATGGGCCACTGTAGTGGGAGACAGAACAAAATGTGACCCACATTGTGCACTTGGGAGTAAGAGATTAATTTTGCTGAGGAGCTTGCGGAGGCGATGAAGGGGGAGAAATTTCAGTTTAAAGAAGAGCGTGGGGGGGGGGGTACAGTGTGTTGGCACACCTTGCTGAGTGTCTAGTTTTGCCAGGGTTAGTTCAGAAGCATAATGAATGGTAAACATTCCCTTTTCGTTACATAAACTTCTGAGAAACGTGCTTTTCATTAACTTGGAATTGTTTAGGCCAAGTTAGGGATGTCGGTGTCCGTGAAGAGAATAAATGCGAGCACAATCTAATAATAGATAAACAGAGAGCCTGCAGAGACAGTGTTCACACGAAAAGGTCCTTTTTATTATTGTCTGTTTAATAAACTGCTGGGGGTTTCTAGGTCCCTGTTCACCCCTTTAATAACAGAACACCATGATTAGCTGGATGCTTTCCAGCTTCTCAGCCAGGTATGATCGTGTGGCTAAATCTGACCCGTCCCATATAGGCAAAAACGCTATGTGCCCCTCTGCATTATGCCCGAAGAGACTGTTCTTGATGCTTTCCCTTGCTGCTGACCACCTTGATGTGAACATGATTGCCAAGGCCGTGATCTCAGAGCTCTGCCACCCGCTGGAGGGGTCGGGAGAAAACCTGTTGGGGAGAGGCAGGGGAGGAGTCTTTTGTTACAACTACTAACTAATGCTTGTTTATTCAGATACTCACCAGATCTTCATGGAGCACCTACTAATTACGCTTGGTGCTAAGGAGTAGAAATGAAGTCCTATTCCTGTCCCTTCTGGAAGGGGAAAAGAGGAAGAGAGTCTGGGTGAGACTGAAAGATAAACCTGGCCACTGTGTCTGAATGTAAACTCCCGGGAAAGATGGAGTGAGCGTGCCACACAGGCTGCACAGCTTCTTACAAGGTATGTGTGAAGACCTAGGAATGCTACTGTTGAGATCCGAGCTTTCCGGCAGGACACAGCCAGAATGTTCTTTAGTCCCTGCAGGAGATGACAGTAATCAGAGAGGTGTTACGAAGATGGAGATAGGAGACGTTAGATGCTAACAGCTTGGCAGCACCCCCAGAAAATTGGTGGTTTGAAAGATCCATCGATAAGGGAGAGTTGAACTCAGTATGTCACCTGATCCCGGTATAGTTGAAGGTGGGGAATCAAAAGACGTGTTTATCCAGGAGCCTGTGGCTCACGCCTGCAATCCTAGCTATTCAGGAGATCAGCTCTAGCAGGACAGTCCGTGGGACACTTCAATTATGCGAGGAGCTGGAAGTGGAGCTGTGGCTGAAATGGTAGAGCAATAGCTTTGGGAAAAACAAAACAAAAAAACTTAAGGGACAATGCCCCGGGCCCTGAGTTCAAGACCCAATTTCCCACCATATTTCATTTAACAAACACAGAGTATTTGACATATTCAGAACTATGCTGGGCAGGGAGAAAAAGCCATGAATATGACGTCTCCCTCCTCTCGTCTTCATAGCTGTGATCAGGGAGATGATTTGGGAGGGTGAAGTATACTTGATCTTAACTGAAGACACAGGTCAGTCTCTTGAGAAAAGATGAGCCATTAGCTACAGGAAGAGAGAGGAAACAGCATAGGTACAGGGATTAAAAGCCACTCGCCACCACTGGGAATGGGCAGTGGAGCTGATGATGCTGGACTCCACGGAAGCCAAGGCTAGGGCTTTGTTTTTCATCAGGAGAGGAAGGAGAAGCTGTCAGGACGTCACCTGATGCTGGGATTCGATGTGCTTCGATTAGGGATTGGAAAGGGAGGGCTTCAGCCGTGCTGGCTGGCGGAGGAGGGTTTTGATGGAGAAGGGTGGGGTCCCGGAGATGCTAGATTGTGTATGGGAGGGAGAGGAAGAGTTTGCAATCGAGTGACTTGCCCGTGTGGCCCATACCCGTCAATGTATTGGAACTGAGATACTGGATGAGCCTCTAATTTAGACAGAAAGACGAGGCTCAGACTTGACATTGACGTTTCCTGGGAGACAACCAAATATAGGTGGTATTGATTGAACTTCAGTGTGGTGAGGAAGGGATCGTCTGAAAAGGGCCTGAAGCCTGGAGAGTGGAAAGATCTAGAATAGCTCCACTCCACCAGGCACACCTGCTCGCAGTGACAGCCCCAGGGCTGAGTCCCAACTGCCAGGAATCCCTTTGGGGGTAAGCACCCTGGTTAACAATGGCAGCTCGTGCTCAGACCACCCACTTCCGGTGTATCCAACACGCGCCAACTCCACCTGGGAGGCCTCCTGTACTCCACACTGAGCCTCCAGTCTACCCGAGCGTCAGGAATCCGTCTAGAACTCAGGCTCTGGTTCCTCGTATCTAGGCCCCACTGCCCACTCCTCTCTTCCCCCTTCCCCGGCCGCCTCACCTCTATCTGCAACGTGTTCCCGCTCACCTACTCTGTGGCTGCTTCTAGCAGAGGAGTGCGCACAGCATGTGGGCTCTAGGTCTAATGTTCGTCTGCAGTGCTGTCTCCCAGCACGTGTTGGGGTTGGTACGTACACAGATCTTGCCACATAGCTTCCTGTCTTTGCTTGGGCCGCCATCATAACCATCCAGTGACAGAAATTAATTTCCTCACTGTTGGGCAAGGTGAGACCTCTCATCCTGTGGTGTCGCAATGGGCAAGAAGCCACTAGTGCCCACCTCGTCTTACGGAGAGGGAGGGAGAGGGAGGGAGAGCATGCATGTGAGAGCTTTCGGAGAATGTTCCTAAGGACACTAACCTACAGCATCCGGGCGTCGCCTCAGGATTCAACCCCAGTTCCTCACTCCAAACAGCCATTCTGGAAGTAGATGAGTCGTGGGGGAACATGATGTATTTATTCAGCCCAACATCTGCATGTGTAAGCTCTCCCTGCAGCCCACGCAGAGCCCGATTAGAAATCGGCCGTGAACTTGGCCACACCCTGTCCCATCTTAACAGCCCTTGGTTAACCCCTTGGGATGGCGCACTAATAACTTGTAAGTCTTGGGTCACTGGTCTCCGTCTGACACCTTGGGAACTACTTGGGACTTCCAGCCGTCCATCCGTGTTTCCTGGAGGGAGCCTTTGCTTCGTGCCTCCGTGTTACATTGGTTGTGTTCTTTTAACACTCAGCCTCCATAGAACTAGGTGATGTAGGGCCCGCTGCATGGAAGAGGAAACAGGTCCAGGTCAAGTACTTGACACCGGGTCCCTTAGCTATTGAGGGGCGGAGCTGGACAATTTAAAGCCAAACAATTAGACCTAGAGACGTGCTCTGCCCATGACCACTGTGGTGCCTTCAGGTGTGGCCATCTTCTGTGCAAAGGCATGACCTGCACCTGCCCTCCTCCCTTGCCCTTCCTTGTCCCCAGCTCGAGGCTGGGGGGACCCCATCCCAGCAGCCTGTGGACAGCCAGACCCCCTCCCATTGTGAGCCCTTATCCCCGGGGTGGAGGAGGTCGGATAGAATTGGCACCATTAGCCTGGCCCGTGTGGCTTCTGGAAGGAAACCCAGTTGCTCATCTCCACTGCTTCCTACAAAGGGGCCAGGAGAGCCCCTGGGTGCTGCAGAGCATGGGGAGCTGGTGGGAGGAGAGCGGTCACTAGCTCTGACTGGTCTGTGGACATTTGGCCAGGGACTAGCCCCTCCATTTTCTCTTGCGTCTCCCAGCCCCGGGTGACCCCACTGTGAGTCACTGGGTGGGATCATGGGTCACATCCCATTTACTCTGGATGCTCAGGGGCCGCGTCCACGTTAAGACAGGTGACTCTCAGGAGGATGCTCAGCTCCCGGAGGCCGGGTGTCTGAGCTAACCTGGAGGGGGTCACTTTGAAGACTCCGCTGGAGCCGGGCCCACTGGTCATCCCTTCTTTTCCTGCAGGTTCTCCGGGGCCACCCCCACCCCCACCCCCAGCGGAGGCCATGTCTGCAGAGAGGCTCTCCACCAGGAGCGCACTTGGCAGTTCACCCACCCAAAAAAACCCCACCTTCCCGGAGCAGGTAAGGCTGGGTTGACCTCTGGACCCCAAGGAGAGGTGCCCCCCCCAGACTGACCTGAGCCCCCCCAGCGCCGGCCCGGGCCGGGGTGGAGGCCGCCTCCTTCCCCCCCACGCGCAGGTTCGCATCCACCCACCTCCTCGTCCCGCAATGAGTGGCGTCGGCCGGGCCGCGTCTCAGCTCCGTGGGTTCTTATTGCAGCAGCGCGGGGTGGGGTGGGGGGGCGCGGGCCGGGGAGGGGGGCGGCCCCCCTCCGCCCTCCCCACCCGGACCCCTTGTCCTCCTCTGGGTCCCCGGTGGTGCGGACGCAGCGTCTTCCCTCCTCCCCACACCACCACCTCCGTCGCGGGAAGCGGCTGCGTGCGTCCGCGGGCGGGCGGGCGGGCGCTGCGGGGGACCCCGCGCCCGGGGCGCACGGGGCCGGGGAAGTCGGGCGCGGCTCCGCGGCGGGTTTCGGGGGACCCCGCGGCCCGGGGTCTCGCTGCCGGGGTCACCAGCCTCCCGCGGGGCGCCTCGGTCCTCCTCCCCGGCCGGCCCCCGCGGCTAGGCCGGCCGCGTCCTCCAGGGCGCGCGGGCGTCGCGCAGCGAGCGGTCGTGGGGCAGCGCGGCGAAGGCCGAGTGGCGCAGCTGGCAGCCGATGAAGAGCACGACCAGCGCCACGGACAGCAGCAGCAGGAAGAAGAGCAGCAGGTAGGTGGGCAGGTCGGGCCGCGGCGCCGCGCCGTCGCGCTCCCCGCGCGCCGTGGCCAGCTCCAGCGGCAGCGCGCCCTCCGCCTTCCCCGTGGCCGCCGCGCCGCCCGCGGGCTCGGGGCCGCCCGTGGCGTTGAACACGTCCCCGTACATGGCCGCCTTCACCGCGCCCCCATGGCGCGCGCCCTCCGGCCGGCCCGGGGTCCCGCCGGTGCCCGGAGCCGCCGCCGCCGCCGGTCCCGATCTCCACCAGACGCTCGGAGCGCGGCCGCCCGTCCTCGGCCGTCCCCAGCCCGCGGCTGGCTGAGCGCCCCCGTCGGAGCCCGAGCCCGAGCCCGGCGGGCAGCTCTGCCCCCAGCGGGCGGCCCGGGCCGCGGCCGACCAATGAGGACCGAGGATCCCGAAAGGGGCGGGGAGGGAGGGGGGGGAGGGAGAGGGGCGGCGCCCAGAGGGACGGACACGGTGACAGACCGAGGGACAGAGTCACAGGTAACACAGGCCCACCAGGGAGGGTGGCCAAGGTCCTGAACACCCTCCCCCGTCCCCCTCCCCTCCCCTGACCTCCCCTGTCCTCCCCTCCCCTGACCTCCCCTGTCCTCCCCTCCCCTGACCTCCCCTCCCCTCCCCTGACCTCCCCTCCCCTCCCCTGACCTCCCCTGTCCTCCCCTCCCCTCCCCTCCCCTGCCCCCCTCCCCTCCCCTGACCTCCCCTGCCCCCCCTCCCCTCCCCTGACCTCCCCTGTCCTCCCCTCCCCTCCCCTGACCTCCCCTGTCCTCCCCTCCCCTCCCCTCTCCTCCCCTCCCCTCTCCTCTCCTCTCCTCTCCTCCCCTCCCCTCTCCTCCCCTCTCCTCCCCTCCCCTCTCCTCTCCTCTCCTCTCCTCCCCTCCCCTCTCCTCCCCTCTCCTCCCCTCCCCTCTCCTCCCCTCTCCTCTCCTCCCCTCTCCTCCCCTCTCCTCTCCTCCCCTCTCCTCCCCTCTCCTCTTCTCCCCTCTCCTCTCCTCCCCTCTCCTCTCCTCCCCTCTCCTCCCCTCTCCTTTCCTCCCCTCCCCTCTCCTCCCCTCTCCTCTCCTCCCCTCTCCTTTCCTCCCCTCCCCTCTCCTCTCCTCCCCTCTCCTCCCCTCTCCTTTCCTCCCCTCCCCTCTCCTCTCCTCTCCTCCCCTGTCCTCCCCTCCCCTGTCTCCCTGTCCTCCCCTCCCCTGTCCTCCCCTCCCCTGTCTCCCTGTCCTCCCCTTCCCTCCCCTTCCTTCCCCTCCCCTCTCCCCTCCCCTCCCCCTCTCTTCCCCTCCCCTCTCTCCCCTCCCCTCTCTTCCCCTCCCCTCTCTCCCCTCCCCTCCCCTCTCTTCCCCTCCCCTCCCCTCTCTTCCTCTCCCCTCCCCTCTCTTCCCCTCCCCTCCCCTCTCTTCCTCTCCCCTCCCCTCTTCCCCTCCCCTCCCCTGTCCTCCCCTGTCCTCCCCTCCCCTCCCCTCCCCTGTCTCCCCTCCCCTCCCTTATCTCTCCTCTCCTCCCTCCCCTCCCCCTGAGAGGTCTTCCAAACACCCCCCCCCCAGCCCCTGTACTTCTCAACAAGAGCTCCAACACCCCCCCCCCCAAGCCATTGCCCAGCCTGACCCTCTCTCTCCCCAACACCAGTGGGCAGCAGGGAATGAAGGAGGGACTGGCTCGTGGGGTCCTGCCAGGGCTGGGTCGGTGCCTCTGCCCTTATCTTGGTCCCAGCCTCTTGTCAGAGACCTCCCCCAAAGAGCCTCTGAGAGAGTCAGCCCAGGTCGGGTGTGTGTCTCTCCTTCCCTGGTGCAGACCAAGCCCCTGAGAAGGGCCCGGGCCCGCCAGAGCCTGGTGAACCCTTCCACCACCCAGTGCACCCTGCAAGCTGACCCTGCTCAGCCCACCACGCAGCCCGAGCCCTGCCACTGGCTTTGATCAACTCCCTGCCCGGACCGAGGGACACCAGGGCTCCCAGAGACCTCTGCAGCCTTTGGGGGTTCAGTCCCGGCACGGGGCTCCCAGGAGCTCCCTGGGCTAGGAGGGGGCTGTAGAGAGAAGGCAGAGGCCCGGAATGGCTCGTGCCTGCCACCTGCTTAGTGGCCACCCCAGAGACAGTCTGCCCTGGCCCCGGGGAGCTGCGCTTCAGGGGTACGGGGATGCTAGGCTCCTTGCTTTCCCTCGGACCCACACTATTTACCAGACAAGAAAGCTGCCCCTCCGAGGTGCCAGGGCCGGGCCTTGTCTGCTACCATGGCAGCGGCGGCAGTGGGCACGAGTCCCTTTCTCTGCAGACCTGACCTATTTTGTGGACAGTGTTTTCCTGGGCCGGCAGGACGTGCGGTTGTGTCATCCGTGGCGAAGGGTGGCCTGTTTGGAGAGGCCTCTGTGGTCAGTAACTTCCTGGGTCTCGGGGCTTGAGGGACCTGGTTGGATGTTTGATCTGCCCAGGTTGTGGGCAGCTTGGTTGGGATATCTTCCCTGGTGATACCCTTCTGGGGTTGGGGACAAGGGGGTGATGGGTCAATGACTTTTTCTAAGCACAGGGTCCTGTGAGTGGAGGGGTCTTGCATCTCCATTCATCCATCATGGTGTCGGGGGGGTACAGGGCTTTCTGGGTCTGGGGGTGGGGAGGTCCCTCCTGTCCCATTGCTGCTTTTATTTTCTGTGTTTGTGCCGGTCCCGGGGCTTGAACTCAGGTCCTGGCCGCTGCCCCTGAACTTCTTTTTGCTCAAGGCTCGCCCTGTACCACCTGAGCCACAGCGCCATGCCTGGCTTTTTCTGAGTAGTTTGTTGCAGATGGAAGTCTCCTGGCCTTTTCTTCCCCTGGGGCTGGCATCGAACCGTGATCCTCAGATCTCAGCCTCCCGAGTAGCTCAGATGACAGGCGTGAGCCACCGGCTCCATGGTAGAGCAGTGCTGTAGCTACTGTTCAGGGCTGAGCAGAGCTAGCCCTGGCTCCAGGGATCCTACGTCCCCCACCTCAACCCCTGCCCATGGCAACCCATGAGCACCCCACTTCACTCAGGAGGGGACCCCAGGACAGGGGTGTGTATATGTGTGTGTGTTACTTTCCAAGGTCACACGCAGCTGGCCAGGCCGGCCTTGTCCACGAAACCCCACAAGGAATGTGTGCTGCAACTGCTTTTCCTTCCTTTTTAGGGGGTTCTTCGGTCCCTGGGTGGGGAGGGTACACTTTTCCTTTTTTGAAAGCTGTTCCCAGGGCCGGGAGCAGTCACGTTCCGCACCCGTCCTCGGGGTAGGAAATGAACCAAGGCTGGAGCCCAGCAGATGCACAGCTGAAGTTTACACAGCCTTTTAGAGCAGCGCGAGCGGCCTTCCATTAAGCCAGCTCTGTGTACTCACGCATTGAAGTCTCTGGAAAGATGATAAAAGGGGGCGCAGAGGTCAGCTTTGACAGGCAGGGGGCGCAGGGCCGGGGCCTCGGTGGGACCTCTTTCCCAGTTCCTGCTTCTTGAGTGACACGTGTGTGTGTGTGCGCTTTCCACGCCAGCCTCTCTGTGCAGAATTGAGGCGAGGGCCCGGGGGCCTCTTGCTCCCCCGGCAGAGCCATTTGGGCAGCTGGAGCAGAAGCTCGGGAGACCGGCACCGCTGCAGCCGGGCTTCTGTAAACTGCGCCCCAGCAGCCTGCGGTGCTTGGTGAAGCGGTTTCCTCCACTGAGGGGCGTCAGCATGGAGCCACTCGGTGTTCAGAGAGGCTGGGGTGCAGGCCAAGAGCAAAGAGCTGGGTTTGAAGGTGGGGCTGGGCTGTTCTGTGTGTGGAGGGGAGGGAGTGGGTAACGCTGCAGTAGGATGCAATGCTCCTTTCTCTTGAAGAGTAAGGGTGCCCTGGACATCTCATTTTCTCTGTGTGTGTGTGTGTGTGTGTGTGTGTGTGTGTGTGTGCATGCACGCACGCGTGCAGGTGCACCAGCCCTGGGGCTTGAACTCAGGGCGCTGTTCCTGAGCTTTTGTGCTCAAGGCTAGCGCTCTACCACTTGAGCCACAGCTCCACTCCATGTTTTCTGGTGGTTCATTGGAGATAAGATTCTCATAGACTTTCCTGCCTAGGCTGGCCTTGAACTGTGATCCTCAGATCTTAGCCTCCTGAGTAGCTAGGATTACTGTTGCCTGGCCTAGAAACTTCTTCTTCTTTTTAACCAGTACCCCCAGGATTGATTCCCCCTCTCTCTCTTTGTCTCTGTCTCTCTGTCTCTCTCTCTCTCTCTCTCATAGATGACTTGGGCAGCTGGTTCGTGAATCAATTAGAAGGTACGCTATCTATTAGGATGATGATGATAAGAACTAGCAAATGTGTATTTTTTTTTTGTTAAAGCCCGATTTTTCTCAATACACCTTTAAAGGTTTTTCAAGTTGTTTCATCTCCGGTTGAGAGTTTTAAGAACTTCATTTTCAATTTGTAATAAGAGTTTATAACGTGACTTTCCCTCCCCCAAAGGTCAACAGCCTGCAAGCACCTGGCAATAAAGGTCTTTTAAGAAGGAAAGAGAGGAAAAGAATGAAAGCAAGCAGCCCAAACCTAGAGAATGCTCAGGTCAAGGTGGTGCAGCCCCGGTCATACGGTGGGGTGACCAGAGCAGGATCCACAGCGCCCCCTTGTGGCGAGTGCCTCTTTCTGTGCTGGGAGGCCCACCTGACAGCTCTCCGCCAAAGTCCAGAGCCTCTGGCTGGTGCTCTACCACTGGAGCCACAGCTCTACTTCTGGCTTTTTGGTGGTTTATTGGTGATAAGAGTCTCACGGGGACTTTTCTGCCTGGGCTGTCTCTGAACCATGATCCTCAGATCTCAGCCTCCTGGGTAGCTAGGATGGCAGGTGTGAGCCACCGGCGCTTGAACTGTGATCTTCCTATTTATACTTCGCACATGGCTGGGATGGTAGGTGGGCAGCACCATGCCCTCCACAGAAGCTCGTTGGCTCAGACGGGGTCTTGTGAACTTTTGATTTGTCCTCTAAGCCTGAGCCTCCCAATCTTTGCCTCTCAAGTTGTTCGGATTTTAGGCATGGGCCACCGCACCTGTCCGGGGGGTCAGGAAGTAGCAGGCCTGCCAAGAGGCCAGGAACTGGACCGATTACAATCCAGCTGTGGCTGTGGTGACACCAAGAAGGTTTGTCCTGGGTGAGCAGGAAGCTCTCGGTGCGTGGGGAGGGGGTG